CGATTTAACCCTGATGGTGGATGCCTCCAAAGACGCAATGGAGGAGGTACAGCGCCTGATGGATCGCTTCTGCACACTGTCGGACATGAGAGTCACTGGGGAAACAAAACCCTGGGATGGTGGATACACCACCAAGGTGTGAGACCCCCGGAACAACCCAAAATTAACTAGCTCCCCAAAGAGAGCCCTATCAGGGTGCTAGGCATCTCCATGACGGCAGACGGCTAACCCTCGACAAATAACGACTGGATCTCTACCCCCCCCCTGGCCAAAATGGCTCTCTGGAGGGACAAGCACACCTCGCTGTTCGGCCGAGCCCTAATCATCAACAACGTGGTTCTGGCCTCGATGTGGTACAAATCTGCCATTTGGGCCCTAGACAAGAACAACGTACGCCCGCTGCGACACCAGATTGCCGCTTCTCTTTGGCGGGGTGATCACGAACGACGTCATGTACTGAGCCAGTTGGCCTGGCACTCAATTATTCAACCCAAAACACGAGGAGGTTTGGGCATCATCGACCCCTTATTACAAACCAAAGCACTAGCCCTGCAATGGCTCAAGCGCCTCCTCTTCAGCCCGGAGATCCCCTGGAGAGAGCTAGCTCTAGAACAGATCGCAAGGCTAGCACCACAAACACTAGAAGGGATTGACCCGGTGATGTGGTTGGAAAACAGAGAATGGCCCATCCCTCGAACAAGAACGCAGCAAAGGGTCCCTCACCCGGAATGCCCCAAGCAGGCAACCAAAGCCGATTTGCGACAAGACCCCTTCTGGCCTGCCCTTCTCAGGACATGGAGGAGTCTGCCCCCCCCAGACAAAATAGCACCAGAGCGGTGGGAGGAGGTGGCGCGCCAACCCCTCTTTGGAAATAGATGGGTGGTAGACTCGACGGGCCGCATGCTCCTCAGCACGGACAACCCCTGCAGGGGCTGGATCAAGAGAGGGATAACAAGGGTCAAGGATATATGGGATGGGGACAGAAAGGACTGGATCGGCCCCGACCAACTCCAAGAGAGGCTACGGTATTGCCACCGGCCGCACGAAGCTCTGGAGAGGCTCATTGAAATAATCCCGCTACAATGGTGGAGAATACTCCACAAAGGCCCCTCCCTGCGGACACTAGATTGGGTGGCGGTTAAGGGCCACCAAGGTTGTGTGGGTAGGGTGGTCCGCCCCCCCCAAGACGAAACAGTGGTTGTGCGGCTCTCACGGCTAGGGCAGGACAACGTCATCCAAAGCCCAGTCGCCGATGCAAATTTAACATGTCCAATAGACGAGGTCCACAGAATCCGCGTGCTAAATGAAGACGGGCAATGGATAGCTTACCTTCCTGACATCCCCCTGCAACACCTGGCTTTGGATCCGATAGAGTGGTCATGGTCCACCCAAAGTAGGCAAGGCAAGAAATTTACAAAAACCCTATATGCCTTGACTGTCCAATCTACCTACAGGCTCCTGCGACCGAAGGTGGCATTGCGTGACCAGGTGGGGGAACGCTGGCAAAACCATCTCAACGTCAGTAGACGCGAGCTGCGACCAGTCCGCTGGTTCAGAACAGTTRAAGAAAAGCCAGCYAAACTGGYATCGCTTCAATGGCASTTAGAGCACCGCTGCCTTCCCACMAACAACTGGCTCATCGATCGAACGTCCCTGGAACAACAAGGACGAGCCCTCCCATGGTGCAAACTCTGCACGAATGYGTTCCCRTCCCGGAAAAGGCCTGAGACAATTGAACATATATTCCTCCAATGTCCCGGGGCACTTTGGTTGTGGAGATGGTGGGACCGAGTGTGGAATCAACTGGGGACAAACGTCCCATGGCCCTGGGACTGGAAGGCCTTGCTGTGCGAAACCTGGCCCAAGAGCCTGCAAGAGCAATCAGACGAGTTCACCATGAATATGCTTAGGATGGGCCGCCGGGCAATCCTCTGGGCACTCTGGCGGAGACGCTGCACGTTCGACCTGGAGGGGGCGCGATTGGAAGGCCCCGAATTCACTGAGAGCGTTCAACAACAAATCCAGACAGAAATAACGGCAAAATGGAACGAAGTAAAGGCACGACTGCAACTTCTCCACAAGCAAAGCGACATCAGACAAAAAATCCGGGACTTCAGTACAAACTGGCTTGGGGATGCAGAGGGAGGGCGGATAGGAAAGGTGGAATGGAAGGGAGAACACACGGAATGTGCAACTTCTGGGGAGGGTCACCCAGGGATGGAGATCATAAGAGACTACTGCCTGCATTTTCATGAGTGGACCCAAGTGCACGCCTTGATCCCGCTGAAATCCCCGGAACATTTCCCGGACTTCTTTCGCCCCCCATCCAACTGTCTAGTGGATAGGTCATGGTATGGCGTGGATTCTGAAGTTCCCAGTTAAAAAGGAGGTGGCGACTAGCTCTTCAGCAGTAGATATCTCGCAAGTTTTGCTTTTGCTGTATCTGGAACAGGCGGTTGCAACTCTGTGAAGTATTCTGTAAAGGGACGCTGGACCCGTTTTCCAGCAGGTGATGCTCCCCACCAATAGATGGAGCCTCCCCCCGGGTGCTAGTGGTGGCTGCGCAGACCAGCATCAGTAGCACTGCAGGAGGTGTGTCTTAAAGAAAAAAAAAAAAAAAAAAAAAAGGGCATACTCACACTAGCACGCATTTTCATAAAATCATAAATTGTAGGTGATTTTTTGGGTCACAAGGGCTATTTTCACGCAAATGGGCACATAAATGTCAGCGACTTGGACAGCCGCGGGGTTACGTGTATTTTGCGAGAATCTCTGGAGGTCCCCGCAATTGCGTATTTCTTTTAGACCTGTTTCTTTCTGGAAACAAAAAAAAAGAATTCAACGTTTGGTGGGAAGCTCTCGTAAGAAAAAGAAAAAGAAAAACAGGAAAAGGGATGGATTTTTATGCATCGTGCTGTGTGACCCCTCGGGCCGTATAATAGCATTCGTAGAGCAGGTCGAGACTGTGTCCTGTGTCCTTTCTGTTTTGTGACTTATACAGCTGTGCTGTGTGACTGGGAAGTGCCCTACAATCACAAATTGGCTCACATATAATTTGCTATTGTACGTGCTAGTGTGAGTATGCCCTCAGTTGTCCATGAACTGTTGAAAGATAGGCCTGCTTTCCAATCCCAATGGAACCAATGACCAATGGATCCAGTTGAGTGAAATATAAATCTGAATTCCTTGGGGCCGGTCACTTCAAAGGTAATATCTCAATCTCAAGGCCGTCAGCCCCGCACCTGTGACACATTCAGGAAGTCGTGGATTCAATCCCACTGACCCCCAGCGGCACTCTGGGTGCCAACCAACTGAGATAGTTGGCTTCCTCACCCCGTTCGGTATTGGTAGGGTCTTTGGCCATCACAGGTGTGCGTGTGTCTGTGTGTGGGTTGTGTGTGGGAGAGTGCTCGCCATAGACACTGCTGTTACTCCATGGGCGCGGGGGAAGTCGATGGGAGGTGCAGCTACGGGCAACATGCTCGGTCTTTGTGCTGAAAAGCATTCCGGAGGATACGAAACACATCAAAACACCATGCATCACACAACGGATTAGGCCGGAGGGCACCATGCATCCCGTTCGTTAATTGTGCAAGGTAGCTATGCTTGCAGGGGTCCCAAGTATAGGCTTAGGAGTAGTGGTTGGTAAGGTAGTGAAAATTGGAATTGAGACAAGAATATAGCTTAGTTTTGTTCAAAAATAATAAAATTTTTTTTAAAAATGAAGACAAGAAAAAGAAACGAAACCCTTGAAGGGTCTTCTTGACGTTAAGCACTTTCCCCAGGCCACTGGTTGCTTGATCTGTGGTTGAATCTCTTGCGTCTTTGTTATTATATTATCATTTTCTCAATTGATTATTATTATTATTATTATTATTATTATTATTATTATTATTATTATTATTAAATACTGTAGCAAAAGACCATGAAAAATAAGTAAACAAATAAATAAAAAGACCATGAAATGCACGCAGCATGAAAGGTGCTATTTCACCTGATTCGGATACAGAGCCGTAGTTGGCAGAGGCTGTAGAGTTGGAGCCGTCAAGGGATGAGATTGAAGCCTTCGTGGAATTTGATGGAGCTGGCGGAACGCCGGGATAAAGGAACTTGAGCCTCTTCGACCGACGATCGTTCAAAACAATAGGTGGGTCAGTAGTGTCTGGAGCAGCATGGCCGTCGTTCGACGTCTGCCTTGCCTCCTGCGAATGGCTGCGATCCGACGGGGGATTACCAGTACCATTTCCATGGCTTCTTTGCTGCGACGAATCCTCCTCCGTCAACGGGACGCTAGCAGTGGACAAACACATTTCACACACACACACACACACATTTCTCACACACACACACACACACACACACACACACACACACACACACACACACACGCACGCACGCACGCACACACACTCACGCACGCACGCGCGCGCGAAGTTGTCATCCGACAGAAACTGAGCATTGATTAAACGATATTCATGTCAAATGAGCTGGAACAGTTCAGAATGGAGACCGTGGAGGAAGCAGAGAACTCGTACGCTACCCAAGCCGGAAGAGAGAGAGAGAGAGAGAGAGAGAGAGAGAGAGAGAGAGAGAGAGAGAGAGAG